TTAATATTCTCTCTGTAGTGAGACGAAACTGTACGAATATTGAGTCCCAGGATACAACCATGGCAGACGAATCACGCTTCACTCGTGAAATGACCTAACGAACTAAATTCTATGAACACTCTCTGAAAACTTATGCTGAGAGATTGCTGGATTTTTTCTGTGTAAAAAAATGATTGAAGAATGAAGAAGAGAAGCGAGTTTATTTAAAGAGAAAGACGAGAGCCACTTCTCGCAACAACTGCTGCACGTGGGCAAGAATTGGTGGAAGACAGAAATTCCTCAAACCGCGGACTCCACCAGTAGATAGAATTGGTGGAAGACAGAAATTCAGCTTCGAGATCCAAAACAATGTTGAGGGACGGATCTTGGCATCATGCTTTCATCCACGTCTTGCATACCAGCATCGGTCCGTTCCATCGGTGTCCCATGTCCAACCGTGAGAAGATGTCTATGAGGCACTCCCGAATCAACTCAGACCAGTCAGGGTAGACTCTAGATCCCATTTGATCGAGAAACAGAGAAAAATCTATTGAGAAAGAAAATTTTGTGACGTAGTGATTGTATATGGTTTCTAAGAATGATACCATGATAAGTTTCTTAGGCTTTTGCAGAAACAATGATCAAGGAATAGAAATTTTTCTGGTTTTAATTTTTTCTTGCTCTGATACCATGTTAGAATCGGGTTTATTATGGGCTTCCAACTTAAAACCAATTGGCAATTAGGGGATTGATCCAAATCCCTTATATATTACTCATGTCCCATTCATATTTCCGATGTGGGATCTTTAATCCCAACACTTTACAACAAAGATGAAGAAGAAAAATACGATTTCAGTGAAACAGAGACATGAAAAGCAAACATTGATAGTGTCTAAAATAAAGTATATCAAATTGATTAAATAATATGCAAGTTTCAGAAGTTTTCGTGATTCACGTTGTGTTTATATGCACAAAGCGATTTTAACTTTCTTGCTCTTCGACAATAATTAAACCAGAATTTTTGTTTCGTGATTCACGTTGTGTTTATATGCAGAAAGCGATTTTGATTTTCTTGCTCTTCGTCAGTTATAAAATCCAAGACATGTCCATCTTTCCTCTGTAGTTGACTTCCGCAAGAGAGAGAATGAGAAGAATTAGATAGAAATGGCCAACTGCGCACTTCCCGCAACAACTGCCCACGCCCAAGCCGAGCCGGCCGGACGGCGGTGGCGGCGCGCGCGTGGGGCGTCCTCTCTACCACTGAGTTGTTTAACCCATGGTGTCATGGGAGCATATATATATACCTCATTTCCTCTCTAGTTCCACGATGTGGGATGTTTGTGAATTTTGACACTAAGACAAAATTACAGTGTTTATGAGACACTATGCTACTAACTTTATTGCATCATTTCTTATTCAATTTTGATATGTTTTTAAAGTGTGAATATACATTGATGTAATACTCATTACAAACTTTCCAACAAGCTGATGATCTGACCGGAACTACCATTGGTTTGGCTGGAAAAGTCGCCGGAAAATCAAAAAAGATCAGCTTTTAAAAACAGAGATCCAAATCCAACATTTAGTACTTCATTATTCTACATGTATGTCAATAAACTGATCATTCTCTTCATAGGTTTCACGAAACCAACCACTATGTCATCTAAGTAGATTGAGTAATAAATTTCAAATTTATTAAGGGTCCAATTGGTTTGGACTGCCAAGGCTGAGACTTTAATAAAAAGTGACTTTTAAAACTTTTAAGGCTTTATAATATAAAAAATAAATTGTAAAAAATAGTCTAAAGACACAAAGTGCTGGTTTAAAAAAAAAACTAACCTAACAAATGAAAACAATAAAAAGTGGACTGTGAGAAAATTTAGGAGGACTTTTAAAAATTTTAATTGTGATTGGTAAAAATTAAACTTTGAAGACTTTAGCAAAAAAGTGAAAGCTTCTAAAGCCTATTACCAATCGGTCTCTAAATCTCACTACATGATTCTTGGCTTTTGATTAGTGGATACATGTTATATAAGGCAACCAAAGTTTGGCTGCAGTGAGTAACATTATTAAACCCCAATCATACAAAACAATTAGAATTTAAATGATATTATATGATAACTAAATGATTGTGGCCAAACCCACTTCGAATTCTCCCTCTTGTACACCACAAATTCGTACATGTATTGCATACACGGAATACATACGTAAATACAATTGACCCGTACGTTTTCCGTAGTATACAAAGAATACTATTCTAACTCTTTCATTCTAAATTTTTGTACAATTGAGTTAACAAAGTGAATTTACGGAAAATTATTTATTAGAAATAAAAATGATAACATGTTTACCCTGTGATTAATTAGCTGAATACTACATTTGCATGATGCAATTTAAAATAAAATTTGGTATCGTCAGCATTTCACATCTCATTTGCCACGTATGGTCCTCTCTTTTTCCAGCTTAAAAATGATACGTGAAATGCTGGAAAAGTTAGTTCAATACAATACGTCTATTTTTTTCTCTTAAAGTCGTAACGAGATCACTTGATGAAATGTTTGAAGAAGTTAGTTCAAATTTTATAATTAATTTATCATCCAACTCGTTCAGCTATTTTACAGTAAACATTTAATTAAAATCCTAACACAACCGACGTAATGCAGTAAAAGTAGACTAATATATATATATATACGTATAAACATTACATGTATATGTGTGCGAGTTTACGTACGGGATGGTGCGATTTAAGAAATACATTAATTAGTATATTAACTCTCCATAATATACAAAGCATGCAGTGTTTTGATACTTAGTTGGTGATGGAGTACGTAGGGTTGATGAGTAGTCTGTTGGAACTCCTCCTGTTTGTATTTTTTAGTGATTAAAAAGACAGTCCATTATGGACATTACTAACTCTATGCTTTTTGCATTTACTTTTATATTTAATATCAGCCATACATCAGTTGCGTAGCTATCGGCTTCCTGAAAAAGACCTAAAGCATATATGCATCCATATATAGGTCCATGTATCAACTTTATGATTGACATATATATACCGGTGTGTGTGTGGGTTTAGGTTTGTGTTTGTTAATTAATGTCAAAGGGTCACTTACATAAAACAGATATAATAAAGTAAAAATAAATTTCTATAATTCTTTTAATACATTACTATAATTACATACAATAACAATTCAGTTCTTTTTATATTATAAGTAAATATGTATTAAAACTTATGCTATATATAATACAGTTTATGTTAAATCAATGCATCAGTGATGTTGCTTTTCCTTTTCAAAAAAAAAAAAAGTGATGTTGCTTACGTTAAAATATGCATTTGGTCAGGGAAAGGTGAAATAAATCAATGATATTGCTTTTGTTAAAATATGGTCCACATATATGGATGGCCATATCAAAAAACAATGGTGGGTCAAGTACGCATGTCGCAAACGTGCTTATTTATTAATCATAAAAGTCTTTTTGAATATTGTTTGTGATGATTGACAACTACCATAAAAGTCTCACGAAGAAAACTCTAAGGCTTTGACTGAAAGTCATTTTTAGAGTAAATGTTTTAGCTGAAAAATTAGTTATTCTACTCTAAAAAATTTATCGATGAAGTGAAAACATTTTCTTCTCATTTCCCTCCAATTATTGTAGAAATCGAAAATATGCACACACATGATTTCTGTAGATTTTTCATGAGTAAATTCATTTATTCCACTTTCGTCTTTCTTCTCTTTTTACATTTTCACTACCTCACTTTTTTTTCCCTCTCATTAGCCTACTCTGATGTTACCAATCATAATCTAAAAGAGTTTTTGAATTTGAAGCCAAAAGATGAATTTTAATTTATACCAACAATTTGACTAATTATAGATATGAAGTCTATATACATGTCTTGTATTAATTATAAACCTACTATTTGTCATCATTTTTGAATTATAGATGTTAAATGATGTGTGTACATGAGTGTGAATAAGTATGAAGGTATGGTACAGTAGAAATTTGAAAAGTGAGCATAAATTAGATGAATTTCCGCAATATTTTAAAATAATATTATTTAAATAATACTTGCGATAAGTAAGTTCTGTATATATTTAAAAATTATAATAATTTAAAAAAAAAAAAATTTGTTGATAAAATGGATAAAAAACTTGTGATAGCTTGATAATGGAAGAATAACATTAAACTTTTTTTATTTATTACAATCATTTAACACATGCATATCATAAATATGAAAAAGATAAAATTAAAAATAAAAATTGCAATATATGAGTTGTGATATGTATCTAGTATTTATATCAAATTCAGAAAATAGTAAGTTTGAAAAAATAAGTCAGAAAATAGTAAAACTGAAAATATTTATTATATTAAAGATTGAATCAAGTAAAATATTTAGAATTCTATCATAATTCTTATTTCCACTGATTTAATAAAGTTCAAATAATAGTCCCCATTTAAATTGATGCCTCGTTAATCAAAATCAAAATCATAATAATATGAAAATAAGTAAAATTATTTAAAATCATGAAAAACATGACAAATAAACAAAATAAAGTTCAAATTACACTTTAAAATTATACATGGATAACTCATTAATCAAAAATCAAAATCATAAAAATATGACACAAACAAAATTAGCTAAAATTATGGAGAAGTAAATAATTAAATTTAATTCTCAAATAATAGTATAGATAGATAAATTTAAGTATTAGTGTTATATTGACCAAAAAAAAGTATTAGTGTTATATATAATCTAGCCAATGATAATCTAGTAAAGACACCAGTCCATATAATAATGAATAATTGTATGTCCACTAATTAATTACACATCACGGAACTAATAAATTGAAGTTAATTATTGAATGAATGTATATATGTTAGATATTTAACTACAAGAATGCATAATTATGAATAAATTTAGTAAGATTTGAATAAATGGTTCAATGTTATATATTAAAATAAGATTTTAACCAATAAATCAAACTCCAAATGCATGCATACTATCATACTCCGTAGTCTCCGAAGAAAATGAAACATTTTTATTAATACTCAACCAAAAAAATGAAGTTACATTTATATCACATATGCTACAAACCTCTGTCCCTAGTAGCATCGTTTATTTGTTTAATCCTGATTCTGGGAAAAAAAACGATGTAGCTATTGATGAAAATGTACATCAGAAAACCAGCTAGCAATATCGGTTTAATTATCTAAACCGATCAAAACTCCTCATAAATCAACCGGTCCCGGCCAGAAAAAAAGTACCCTGGGGGTAAAAAAATTCATTGCGTATCCTGTTCATTGGTTCGGGTGTTAATAGTATCGGATCTTATCTGCGAAGGAAGAATATCTTGAAGTAATCCATGATCCCTAATGGTAGACGTAGTTGACGTAGAAGCTTGTGACATATCATAACCAAATCTAGAAAATGATGATGGCCCTAGATTTACGAAAGTGCCATCAGAAGAGCTTCTATTGACCATGCTTAGAGAGTTGTTGTACATGTTGTAAGGTTGATGATGCTGAGACAGCAAGTAACGTGGCCGAGGGATAGAGAATGATGATGATGACGCGGTGGTCGCACCATGTTCGAGGTTTGGTGACGTGAGCATTCCAATGTGTCCACGTGGCGTCATGGGGAAAGGGTGAGTGTGTTGATCTTCGTAGGTTGTCATGACGATGGAAGGATCATCTGAGGATCTCTCCACTCTCTTCTTCACTCCACAACCCACCGTGGTGCAACGGTAATAGCTTCTGCACATTAAAATAATTTTATATTAAATATTAATACATATAAACTAATTAAATGTAGTTAATATTTTCATATTTGTATAGTTTGGAAGAAGATGGAAGATGTGAGGAACAGAAGATCTCGAGATCTGAGATGAAGTTTGGAACAAGTTGAGATAGAAATCTTCCGACACAAGCAACATAAATCAAGGGAAGAAACAAAACACAGAAACCTCATGGAATGGAACAAAATAAAATATATTCTTGGAAACGATAATTCAAACATTCTGGACCCTACAAACACGCGTATTAGGTATATAGTCTTCTATATATATTATCATAGTGGACTTTTATATGATATATGAATTAGAGTCATGTGATATGCCTATAGACTCGGCATATATAGATCACACTGAATATAGGGCAACTCTACACACACACACACACGCCCATATACATACATATATAGCGTGTTATTTATATGAGAAGTTGAATGAACATGTATGTAACACAAGATCTCACAAATGTAATATGAAACCAAAACATTATAGATGGTGTAGATGATCCTTATGAATAAGAAAAAACTGGATCTAAGGAAGTGAATAAAGTATATGTAGACACAGATGCATGCAAAATGACAATGATCTACATGAATCTAGCTAGGGCTGTAATATATATGTATTCACTTATATACAATAGATTTTACCTGGGATAAGGACTGTTTTTGACAGCTTTCTGGCCGTACTTTCTCCACCTATAACCATCATCAAGATTATCAATATCACTCTTCGTCAGAAACGCAAACCTAGCCTCTCTTGCCTTCTTTTGTTGCTTCGTCTTAGCCTTCAATCTTCAAAACAAGATAGTTCACAAAAAAATAATTAAAACCCAAACATAAATCAATCGGTCAATAAAATGGAAGGTTAATTAATTACTTACTGTGGCTTAGTACTCTTTTGCTCCTGTTGATCTACATCTTCTTGGTCTTTAACAATAACCTCTTTATTTGTAGTATCATTAGCAGCTTCGTTGGATGAGGAAGAGAATGACGTTGAGTTTGGAGATGTCGGTGTTGTGCTCACAACTTCTGAGGACTCAGCCTTTGTTGTTGAAGGTTGAGACAAGGGTAGATCCGTAAAAAAGAGGTTTGTGTTGTTGTTATTGTTTTGGAGAGGAAATGCATCGAATGAAAAAGAGGATGAGTTAGAGGAGGAAGCAAATTGATGTTGGTCTTGTCGGAGCAAGTCAAGGAAAGAGTTGGGGTTATTAGAGGAGTGGTCTTCGAAATAAGAATAAGGAAAAGGTGAAGATATTGGAGTATCAAAGATGCTTGAGAGATTCATGTTGCTCCCAGCTACCTCTATCTGATGATGATGATCTGATATTGTACCAAGATTCATCATGTGTGTTGATGATGATATTGTTGTCTCCATATTCTTGGTACTGTTGAGCTCTTCCTTTTGTTGTTCTTGATGATGATCCTCTTTAATCTTCTTCTCCATGTAAAAGAAAAGATGGCATATATGAGAGATATACTTTATAGAGAGATCATCATGATCATTGTCATCTTTTGAGATTATATGAGGAAGAGAAAGGAGAACTTTTCTTTAGCTTTCTTGGTGAGTTTGATGAAATGTTTGTATTTTGGAATGGTTTGTTGTGATTTGAGATGAAAAGAGAAAAGAGAGGTGTGAATATAACTTTTGTAGAGTTTTGGGTTCTTCTGGAAAACAGCTTGAATTTAGGAAGTTTCCCATTTGTTCTTTTTAATATTATTATAAATAAATGTACTTTCATTTACGCGGGCAAGAATATTAAATAAAGGGAATTTTAATAAAAAGGATAAAAACACTGGTCACCGGTAAACGCCGGTCATGGGAGGCTTACGGTTGTGAATGTTATCGGGACGGTGCCGTCCTCTGCTGCTGGGCATTTAATTTTTGTCCCTTCATTCTGTTTTTTTATGCTTTATTCCCACGTTGTGTCGTGTCTCCTAACGGCATGGTTACACGATCTGGTCTTTAATTTACTAACTAGAATTTTATTGTCCAAACTCTATTCAGATTTTACAGGGCGACTTTTTAACTTTTAAGTGTGAAAAGTTAACTCTTTGCAAATGATCGGTGTGTCATAAGCTGGATGAGCTATCGCTGTCAATGATTCCTGACATAATTCTAAAATGTGGTGAAAATTAGATAAACCTTACATGAATAAACTATAGCTCTCAGTGTTATATATAATTCATGAACAATATTAATGGAAACCATTCATTAAAACTCTGACAAATTACTTCTCTTCCAGATAACAACTATGAAACATGTGAATATTCACTAACAATATAACTCAGATCAGAGTAATAACTTGCTATTTCAGATAAATCATACGTTTTTGGATTATAGTAACTTTAGACCATGTGCAAAGGTGTTGTTGCCGGAGGGATAACCGAGGTAAGTTTTTATAATTATTTTATTATTTAACTTTTTAGCTAAAAAGAAAAAAAAAGAGGAAAGAACCCGTCGCAGGGTCTCACGTGGCGACGGGACCCACGTTCAGGAACAAGACTGATCTTTATCTAAGGATTATTTTGACACATTTTCTTAAATTTGATGGGCCCTCCACATTATTATATATTTTTTTCTAAGAATTTTTGACTAAAAATTGTCATTGCACATGCTCTTAAAACCTAATATTTTAATTAACTTACAGTCATCTTATTTACCCGAGAAAAACTTACATTCTTTTTTATGTGAATCCGAGTATAAATATTTATAAAATAAATATATTATAATAGTTGATTGATATTTATTATATTAAATTATAGTTTTATGTATAAAATATATTAAGAATATTATATTATTTTAGTTATATATAATTTGAGATATATTATATTTAATCATTTTTATCATTTGGATATATATATATATATATATATATATTGGATTTTATCTATTTCTCTTAATTCAACTATAATATTTTTTATTCTAAATATCTTAAATTTTTGATTAATTATTGATTTATATTTATGTTGGTTGTTATCTTAGAAATATAAATATATCTTAGTAAGATTATATATTTTAAGATTTTTTGTGCTTAGAACGAAAAAAATAAAAACTAAAGTGTCTGATTCTAAATTACATACATAAGTAATAATAAAATTTTAGAAGCTTATGAACACATATCAATATTTACAATAGTTGAATATTTTATAAATTTTAAATAATTTATGCCTTAGATTGATTGGATGGTAAACTGAAATTTATTTTAAATAATTTTAAAAATAAGGAATTCTGATTTGCTTAAGTATTTTGATTATGGTTATATTAAACTCCACAAACATAAAAACAGAAAATTAAACATCAAAAGAGTTATTAAGAAAACATATAATTTCAACTATTAAAGTATAATATATCTACCTCGTTAAATTATATAGTGTTATGATATTTTAAAAAAATTATAGTTATTTGATCAAAAGATGTTTATTATTAAATTTATATTTAGTTTTGTTTTTAATATCTCTTAAAATATGCAGTAAAAATGTGATTGTTTTTGAGAAATTATATTATATAAGTAAAATATAATATATTTTTTTTGCTGTAAATGTAAGATATTATAATCAAATAAATATACTAATTATAATTTTTTTTTCAATTAAACATATATCAGTTTATGTTACTTAATTATTTTATGTAATCATCTAATAAAATAGATAGATATATACAAAATTAATTACTTTGAAAATATACATTTTATTGTTTAAATTATTTTTTAACGAAAAATATTTATTTTTCTAATATCAAGATTATTTGTATGAACTTTTTTTTATGAAAACACATTATATACAAATATTATTTCATCTAAGAAGATATAGATATAAATTATAATTACTTAAAAGGTATAATTTATGTTATTTAAAAATATATTTAAGTTAAATATTACTATTTTGTAAACTTTCCCTTTTTATGAAACCATATTATATATGTACTTATTTTTTTCGTTTTTAAATAATTTTGTAAATTTTATAAATGTTTCCTTTTTGTTTTATATTGTTATTTGGAAGATTTTAAAAAGGAAATTATAATATTTAAGTATATTTTTAATTCATTAGGGGTATCATAGTAATCAACCAGCGTGAGAGTTAACGTGAGCGTGACACCTAAGAAAGTGACTTCTCAAATAATATTATAGAGATTAATGTTGCCTACGGTTTAGATATCTAGGACTCTATTCTTTCGATTTCCCTACGATTTTGGAACTCTTCAACACAAATTCTTACTGGTCAACACTCTTACAGCTTCTCATGGTTGCATCAACGTCGTTTAATCGACAAGCAATTGTTCTTTCGAACAATCGCTAACAACTGCTATAGAGACTAAGATGGAATTCCCCATAGCCTATGGGTTTCTTCATACCATTGAGCATAACTCGTATTTTACCGGTTTTGTATTTCGCTTTGATGTAGTGGGTTTCTATTTTTGATGTACTGTCGAGGATGTTTTTGGGATCTCATGTTTCAATTGTAAACTTTGATGCTCATTGAATCTTTTAGTATAAATTTGTGTATAAAAATGTAATTCTTTTCATTTTTTTTATTTTTAACGTTTTATGATAATACATATGGATTAAGAATTTTTATTTTATTTTCTAAACACAAACATCATTAATGGTCTAATCTAACCACAATTCAACTAATAATAAAATATAAATTATAAAATTATTAGTTATATGACATTAATTGTTAATAAATTTTATATAGAAAATTGAAAACGTTAAAAACAAAAAACAAAAATCTAAAACATCAAATACAAAAAATGAAGGGAATATAAATTAATGTATAAATAGTGATACATTGAGAAAAGGTAAAAGCAGAAGAGTAATTTTTAAATTTAAAATAAGCATAGGTGGATGTAGAGTTATGGTCCTAGTTCAAAAACTCGGTCGCGGAAGCGATTAGCCGGCCGATTAAACGTGACCCACCATGGAGAATTGGTCCAATTCGGATAAATTACACAGTGAAAATGAGAGGTAAACTGAGAAGCAATATTGAGGACAATAGTTTATGGAAAAGGAGACTGGGTTTTAAACAAAAGTTTTTGATTCATGAAACTTGGATGCTACCAAGAGAACCAAGCCCTCAATGTAGTTTGGTGAAGGGGGTCTGGTTTTCCCAAGCTACTCGTTCATAACCTGTCTAGCAATGCTAAACAGATTGTCTACTATGGACAGAGTTTCAATCTGGTGCCAAAGAGCTGATCAGATTTTTGTTCTGTGTAAGGATGGCAGTGAAACTCGAGATCATTTATTCTTTGAATGCCTCTTCTCTGCTCAAGTCTGGGATTATCTTATCAATGGGATTCTGAGAAACAGATACACCAATGCCTTGTCTAATATAGTGGCTCTGATTATTGATAGAAACATGGAGAAGAAAAAGCTATTCTGTATCAGATACTCTTTTCAAGCTGTTATTTTGCCATTTGGAGGAAACGAAACAAGATAAAATGATCGAGAAAGGGGATAGGAACAAACTCAGTCTTATGTGAGGGAAAGAGGCAAAAACATAGAAGGTGATCTTCAATATTGGTTTGAACTAGAGTTTGATTTCTCTTTTAGTTGATACTCCAGTTACCATGTAAAAAAAGACACACTTGGATGTAATCAGGTTTTTTTTTTTGAATACCATTTAACATTCATTCAAAAAAATGAAAAAGGTCATTTTAGTATATTCTAAGCTTGAAATGAACTATATGTCTTAGATTTGTTATACTTTGATCAAAACCTATGAGAATAACATGAAAATCAATGAAATCACAAAAAAATGGAAACGGCTGTAAATCTGACAAAAATCACAGTTGAAAAGAGAAAGACAAAGTTATTTTTGTCATTTTTGAATTCATTAACAATGATCTATATGTCGTAGACTTGGTTGTAAATGAAGTATTAAAGGCCTTTAACCACCACAAGGCTTGGAAACAACGGTAATGTAATACATAATTATTATATATATGCTAAAGTGGATATAGAACCCTGAAATTGATTGCCGATTATTTTTTGTATAATCTCCGATTAATTGATTCGGCGGTAGGCGTCATCCGTCCGTACGCGTTATGCCTAGCTAACGTGTTTCCGAACATGGTTACAGACACATTACAGACACATGCTCCCTATTTATTTTTATTTATTTTTAAATAACTTGATTAAGTTGTTCTTAGTTTAGTGCATAAACAAAATCGTACCCCCAATTCATTTTTTTTGTTTTGTTTAATGTTTAGTATTGTGCCCCTAATTATAAATGGTTCTGGATCCTCCACTGGCAGTAAAAAGAACATTGTAACAGGAACGTGTAGTTTTAACGCGGTATTATTAGCTGTTTATTTTCTTTATCTTCATGTCGGTTTCTTCCTTCTAATAAAGCCACTCCACACAACACTTTATTCAGTAAACACGTTGCTTTGGTTTTCCCAATTTATCATAGGTTAATGACAATGATTTAATTTAATAATAGTTGATCAGATGAATTAATGAAACCAAATCTCATTGACATGTCTCTTTTGAAGGGAGATTGGAAAATAATATAATAAGTTTGTTAAAATAAAAAAAAAAAATCTCATTGACATAAAACTGGGGAGGTTGACGTGGTCCACTCGTTAAAAATCTAGAAGCCGG